GCTCTTCCTCATAGGAGGAGGTAAGCCCTGTTATAAATAAATCAGGTTTTGAAATAGGATGCTACTCAGTTAAAAAAAATTATGGAAGGATACCTAAGGGTCAAAGGTTGCAAACCACTTATCTAAACCCAAATGTTAAAATATACTTTTTCTGATTCAGAATTTTAGTCATAGATTTATGAAAAAAGCCTGATCTTTGCTGGAGATTCAGCTATGAGAAAATCTGTGATCATGTTGTAGCTTTTAGACTTAATTGAAAATAACATACTTAATACATGGATGGGTTTTTTCCCCATCATTCCAAATTGATTAGCGGAGGCATCCGTTTTCCCTTCACAGAATTAATTTCTATAAAAACAAAATGATTATAGTTTTATTGAATGAGCAGATTGAGGAAATTCATTCTCCACTAGAAGCCTTCCAGTTCTAACTTTATGAAAACATATTAAAGGAAATATTTCCTGGTTGTGTCATAAATTTAGGACTAAAGGCCAGTCTGCTTCAGTAGTTCCATATCATTTGTTTTTAACATTGCATTAATGGCAAGATAAATAAATGTTTGCACTGAATCCTTTGGAGATGGTAAACCAGACTGAATAAAATAAGAACTGACTTTAAACTTAGCCCCAAATCATACTGCATCCAGACTTCTTACAGGTTTAAAAATAGTTGGCTTAGTTTGAGAACATATTATTCCCACTGCTGAACATTAACTTGCTCCAGTTGACTTCAGAGGAACTAATTATGTGAGGCACTGTGTAAAAAAGTGATTAAGGGGTTCTCACTGTGGCTGTTAATTAATATTACTATTGCTGTGCTTAGGAACCTAACAGTGAACCTTTCAAGAAACAAATCTTTCCAGTTTCATGACCTAAACTGAGTGAAAAGTAAACAAAAGTAAAATAATAATAATAATAATACCTTGTATTTCTATCCTGACTTTTTGTATGATGAGCTGTATAAATTCCCAGTGGCTATGTCTGCACAAGATGCTGACTGTGAAATTATTATTGCACAATCATTTAGTTCTTATTTATAGAAGTACTAAATGACTGCGCAGTAACCAGAGTTACTGCACAGTAGCATTGCCAAATGGCTTTTCGTGATGCTGGCTGTGCAGTAGCTTGTCACTACTGCACAGTAGCATTGCATCATGCTTTCTGCCAGTAGTCACGGGCTACTGCGCAGTCAGCATCTTGTGTAGATGTGGCCAGTATATATTAAATTTATGTGGAAAAGTAAATTCCCCATTTCAAAACCACAATTTGAATTTTACAAATTCCACAATTTGTAAAATTGATCCAACATCAATTTTTTGAATGATGTATTAACAATCTGAATAAGTTTTGTAGCAATATAATCACCATTAGCAGTGATATAAGTAAAGTTGGGGTGAGTTTTAGAGCTTTATATATGTCATGTGAACTTAGAAGAAGACATTTTTGAACAGTTTGATACCATGTGCGTAATAATGATTTCACTGGTTTTAGGTTTGTGGAAGACAAAACAACGTGGGATGTGTACAAGCAGTTTCTCTGGGGACCTGCACTACTCATTAGCCCTGTATTGGATCCAGTAAGCATTTATATCTAATTGTATATGAGTGGACTTTTAAAAGTGTTTTTTCTTCTCTTCACTTCACTTTTTTCCTTTACTTTATTTAACACATATGTGTTTAAATTCTAGAATGCTACGTCTGTAGAGGCTTATATACCCAATGCACGCTGGTATGATTATTATACGGTAAGTGATTTTTAAAAAAATCTTCAACTCATGGTAGAGGTGATATCTTTTCTTAAACCATCTAGATATTTGCAAAAAAAAAAAATTTTTTTTAATTTGTATGCTTCCGGGCGCGCACATCCTTCTTCAGGCATAAGAAAATGACCTTCTTTCTAATAGTAAGAACTGTTAGAATAGAATAGAATAGAATAGAATGCTCTGTTTGCCTCAGTAATAGACTTTTCTCAGTTGAAACTAAAAATAAGAGTGACAATCCTTGAGATACTGAGGAAAAGGAAGGTTTATACTGCTGGCAAGGGATATGCAGGATAGCAGTAGGATATTATTGGTAGGAATATAGTAAATAGTGGCTTGGAGGGCGGATGGAAGATAGGGAAGTGATTAATAGAACAAGTGCAATGAGAAGAGGGATAAAGATTGATACAGTTGATGAGATAGGATAGCATACTTGGATGATTTTAAAACAGTCTTTAGTGAGGAAATGACATCAGTTTGGAAATTAATTTATACATTTTGGATTTTGGATCTCATCCTGTGAGGTGCTTATCACCAGCAATAAGAATTAAGAGCTGTTAACATTTTCAGGTGATGTCTGAAGAAGTCAAAATAGAAGAGAATTTCAACTCGTGAAGTTTCATTACAGAAGTATTAAGATGATAGGATCATAGGAAAGCAGAGCTACAGGATACTTCATGAGGTCATCTAGTTCAGTGCCCTGCTCAAGACAGGATCCTCTGACCACACATAACAGAATGTGCCCCCTATGGGGCACGGGGGGCGCACTATGTCCATTTTCTTTCTCCAGCTTCCCCAATCTGGTCTGGTTCTCTTGCTTACCATGTCTTGATGTTAAAATTAATATATTTGGGAAGCTGTCTTCAGAGAACCAAAGGTCAACTTTTAGCACCTTGC